GGCGTGTCTATGATAGGCATCGCCGCTCTCATCAGTCCTTTCTTTAAGAAAGAGAAAGTAATTATAATTATCTCAAGAATTTAAGACAAATGTTTTGATGCCATATGTGTCTTGTGTCCAACTCATAGGCCGCCGGCTCTTTCGTCTCATTCTTCTCATTCATCGCCAGTTTCTTACACTTATTGTTCGTCTTTTTAGACATCTCTCCAGTCGTTTACTATTTATTTTCGCTCATCTCTCCCATCGCTTTCACACTCGGAATCAATTCTGTAATTATGAGAAATTCTTTGAGGTTTTAATCTACAAACCAATTATTAGTAACTCTTTTATCTCTCATTTGGGATCAGATCACTCGTTTGAACGAAGAAATCACTTTCAATACGCTATTCAGCGATAAGAATTTTTCTGTCGGCTCAGCCCTAATAATGTTGATCGTGGACACCGTTTTGTACACACTATTAGCCATATATTTCGATCAAGTGATACCCGGAGAGTACGGATCCAAGCAATCGGTGCTCTTCTTCCTGAAGCCATCATTTTGGAAGTCATCGAAACCGAGTCTTTTGAGGGGTTCCGTAAATGAAGAGTTTGTTTCGGAACAGACCTCTCATGACATCGAAGAGATATCCGACGAAATGAGAGGAAAGTCAGCCATAAGTATCGAAAACTTGACAAAAGTCTACGGAAATGGCGAGAAAGCTGTGAAGGCTGTGAATGGCCTCTCATTCAATGTATACGAGTCCCAAATCACTGGCCTCTTAGGCCATAACGGGGCCGGTAAGTCGACACTAATCAATATGTTGGTGGGAAACATACCGCCCACATCCGGAACTGCTTACATCTATGGCCTTAATATATCAGATCCGATAGATATGTATAAATTGCGACAAATGTTTGGCGTTTGCCTACAACAGGACATACTGTTTGATGAACTCAATTGTGTGGAACACTTGAACTTCTTCGCCCAAATCAAAGGCATTGATAGACAACAACTGGACTCTGAAGTCACAAAACTCTTGAGTGAAGTGCAGCTCTACGAGGACCGGCTGACGCCGTCCAAGAAGTTAAGCGGCGGTCAGAAACGCAAACTCTGTGTCGCCATAGCGTTGATCGGAAACCCGAAGATTATTCTGTTGGACGAGCCGTCCAGTGGTGTCGACCCGTACTCCCGGCGCCAGTTGTGGTCTTTGCTTCAGTCCTATAAGAAGGATCGGGTGATTATCTTAAGTACTCACTTCATGGACGAGGCGGACGTGTTGGCCGACAGGAAAGCCATTGTCTCGAAGGGTAGGCTTAGATGTATGGGCTCTTCGCTGTTCCTGAAGAAGCGCTTCGGCATTGGCTATCACTTAACGGTCGACATTAAGAAGGGAACGGACGTCGATGTCGTGAACAAATTGATTCAGTCGATCATATCGAGAGCTCAGTTTGAGAGGTTTACCACTTCGGAGGTCTTCTATATCTTACCACCGACTGAGACACAACTCTTCCCCAAACTGTTTGACTCTTTGGAACAGAATATCTCCGGCGAAAACAACTTCGTGAAGAGTTTCGGTATTTCGATGACTACATTAGAGGAAGTGTTTCTGAAAATAGGCGATGAGATGGACAGCGAGAGTGAGAGTAACGGCAGAAAGCAGTACACGAATACTGATTTTGCGGAACCGATTAGATTAGAGTCACTCGTGTCCGACGAAAGTGACTTAAAACCAACTTTTTGGCAGTCATTCAAAGCATTCCTATACTTACGTATACTGATCTTCATCCGCAACCCAATGCACGCCATTCCCATCATTGTATTCCCTCACTAATATTAATAAGAGAGCATAAAGGACTACTTCTGGAGTTGCCAATTCCTGAACCTCGGTAGCCGGTATGATAATTTCGGTAGCGACATATTCCTTTTGTGAAACAATATGTTATTGAGGTGTGATATTGATATCAATCAGTTTGTATCAATTGTAGACACATTGGGAGCAAATGCTAAATCAGTGGATAAATTCAGTATTAAATCGACGGCTAATAGCTTTATGGCCGTCAATATGACAACAAGTTTTAGAAACTTTTTATTCAACGACACATACATTCATTCGTTGCCTATATTACAGAATTTAATGACAAATTATTTTTACAATTTATCTAATATTCACCCATCTGTGGAACCAATTAAAAGCACAATCAATACATATAACCATCCATTCCCTCAAACAGACGAGGAATCAGTTCTGTATTCATTTGATCCCAAACTGTTTACATATGTCTTACTAATGGCTGTAATACTGGGAGGCATTCCTCCGACGATTGCCGTCGAAGTAGTAGAAGACAGAG